CAGTTGGACACTCAAAACCATCTCCGACTCTTATTCCCACCAAAATGAGGGAACCGTCACCAGTTTTAGAAAAACCTGATCACAAAGGATAAAAGAAAATCGCTATAACGTAATATGGAGGTGGTATTTAACGTTGGTAAAAATGAATATAATAGATAAAAGTGTATCATCGTTATATTGGAGGTATAAAAAGAGAAGGGGATGTATATACATATGTGGTGGTTATGTGAAGTAAGAAAGCAAGAATGGAATCAAATTTTTAAAGACATGTGAAATAATAGGACTAAATATTCAAATGTCCTCATTAATTGCATTATTGAATTTGGTCAATAAGGATTAATTGTTGAAAGAAAATAAGGATTTGATAGTAATAATGATTACAGGTGCAAGATTGATATTTGCAAGAAACTGGAGAAATGATAATCAATTCAGCCTAGAGGAATTTTATAGAGAATTATGGGACATGGCAATTAATGGCAAACTGACATGTGATATGAAAATAAGAAGAGGCCAATCAAAAAATAATGATTTTAAGAAAATATGGAATGTATTTTTGGAATATGTGTTTCGGAGAGGGAAGGGGTATACACCAAGGGAAGAAACAATGAAATTTTGGAGTGAAAATGGACTGAATGAAGTTTAATGCTAGTCCTGAAGGTGATGGGGGCACTTGTGAAATTGTATCTTATTGTTTTGTATTTTCTTATAGTTTTTTGTGTGGTAGTAGGTTTATGTTGTATTAATACAAATTATTAAAAAAATAAACTGTGTGGATGTTTTTGCTTAGTGTTTTATTTGTCATTGGTATTGAGTTTTGGCTTATGTTTGTTGATGTCCGGATTGTAAGCCGCCCAGACTAGTGGTAGATCCCAGGTAAGATAGAATAAAATTGCTCTAACCCAATCACACTTTTCATCTGTTCTAGAGAAGTGACATTTCCACGTTCCATCCATTTCTCCAGATATTGAACTAATTTAGCTCCCAGCTGAGCATAAGATTCTTCAGGCTTTTTTGTAAGAGAATGAAATTTTCATCTCAGGTGTTCTGCACTGACACCAAATCTAGAATAAACCATTTTTCTATAGGTCTCAAAATATCTGGCCTGCTCTAGAAGCATCTGTGAATACAACTCAGCTAAATCTCCACTTATTTGGGATCTCAAAACCATCATCTTTTCATCATCTTAGATATTAAAGTCCGAACACACATGTTCAAAGGAAATGAGGAAAGATTCTGGGCAGTCACCTTTTCTATATTGGGGAAATTTCTGTAGATCAGTCTTTGAGAGATTTCCCTCATTAGTGCTGTTGTTATTGTTACTGTTATTCTGAGCAGTTAATTCTAATTGTTTCATTTGTATTTGAAATTCCATTTCTCTTTGTCTTAATTACATTTGTCTATTTTCTTGCTCAAATTCCATTTGTCTGGTCTCAGCCCTCTCCTTTTCTCTGATTTCTAGTTCCTTGCACTCCAGCTCCATAGCTCTCTCCTCAGCTCTGGCTTTTTCTCTCTCTATTTCAAAATATATTTCCTTTTGTCTGGCCTCTTGCTCAGCCCTGGCTTTTTTCAATTCTAATTGATTTCTCATAGCTAGCTCCTTCAATTTAAATTCCTGTTCCAGCTTCCATTTTTCAAACTCTGGGGAGCTTAGAACACCTTCTCTCCCTGATGCATTCTCCTCAGTCTCCAACTGTTCCCTTGGAGTTAAAGAGTCTCCATTTCCTCCCATTTCTTGAGGTAATTAGTTTCCTCCATTACTAGCTTTTAAGTTTTTTTGGGGTGGCATTTTTATGAGTTATTTACTCTTAAGAGTGTTTATACTGATTTTTAAAAGGACCTGTCTTTCTTCTAATTCCAGTCACTGAAATAAATTTCTATTTCTATTTCAAGCCTCTGCTTTTCTTCTGTTCCCTCAGATCTCTTCTGACCCCTGACTTCTGCTTTTATCCACCAGTGCTCCCTTCTCTTAGAGCCTTGGATCTTAAGCTAGCCACTAGGTCTCTCAAATCCTGAGGTAAAAACAGGAATTTTTTTTTCAGAGTTGTTCTCTATCTTAGTCCCTCAGATCTGGGTTCAGAAGCCCCACCACTAAGCTTTTCCCAAAAGCTCTGGTGGGTAACCTACTTCTTCACCACAGACCTCTGTCTAAAAGGTATCCTTGACTCAGAAAAAATTCACTTTAAACTCAGGCTTTACTGGATTGCTTCACATCCCGCCGCTGGACACCAGTTGTGACGTTTGCCCATTTGTGGCCCCTGTTTGTCTCCCCAAAACAGAGAGCTCATGAAGGCAAACAAAAAAAACCCCAAAACCTTTTCACACGCTTCCACCAGTTGATTACTAAATCAACGTACTTTACTTAAGAAAGATCAAGGTCCATTCATCACTGTCTTTTTCTTAAAGCAGGTTTATTGATTACGGATGTTTCTATAATAATTCATAAGTATCTTCTTCAGGTACATCAAGCATCAATAACAATCTTCTATATTATCTTACAGGTTACTATTCACTCCTCAGACTATTCACACCTCAGATCTCCCAAATCTCTCTCTCTCCCTCTCTAACTCTGACTCCACTCGCCTCTCTGGCTCTACCTTTTTAACATCTCTAGTGCCCCCACCTCTCAACCGCATCAGCATAAAACATGAATAATGCACGACTTATTTAACATAATAAGGGTGAAAGCCACACTCTCAAACATCTTTTTTTAAAAAAATAGCATAGTAACATTTGTACAACCACAAGTACATGTGTGCTTATCAGTCAAGGTTGCTGTGTCTTCTCATTTGGTTTTGTTTGGTAATTGAGTTTCTGGTATTGATGCTGCCACTTCAGACCAGAACCTGACCTGTACATTAATGGTGAATATCATAGTCCCCTCTTTTTCTATTGAGTTGTCCTAGGAAAATCTAAAATCTGGTCAGCTGCATAGATTGGCGATTGTGGATCAGCGAGACCCCTAATGAGCATCTGTCCTTTGAATCTTGGTGAAGACAGAAAGCCACTCATGTCTTAGAAGGTTTATTGGACAGATAGCAGGCAGCATAATGGAATACAGATGTTATTACATGCTTTGTAGCCCCTGAGTCTAGCTGGGTATGGTTCCTACTGAGGTGGTGCCTGTACAGCTAACCATGGTTCTTCTCTCATATAACTAAGAGGCTACCAAGACCTGATCATCACAAACAGTTTTTATACCCTAGTCCCCATACTCTGAAACATGTAGGAAGGAATGGAATCCAGTAGCCATCACCTCCGATTCCAGGGAAGGAAATTACATATTGGGTAGAATAAACTCTTTCTGTGACCAAGTCACTATGTTATCATCTTGACAAGGTAAACTGCTCTTGGAACAATAGATTTATAAATGCAGAATGCTACAAGAAATTTCTTTGTGTCCATGCACTAAGCTGGTGATGTAGCATTCATGAAATAGTGTATAATGGTGTTTTATAAAGCAGATTTTCAGCCCAAAGCATCACCTTATTAATGAAATCCCATCCCCTCAACCCATATGGATCTCTCTCTCTCTCTCAAGCTACAAATCAATATTATTGGAAGGTATGGCTGTAGAGGCAGAAGAAGCAAAGAATCCCTGAGGGTACTGGAAGAGACCAATTAGTTTGGGAGTAATATCAGAGAAAAGGACCAATTAAATTCAAAGTACAAGAGAAGTAACAGCATTTTCAAAAGCAAGGAATCAAGAAAAAAATAAGTTAATTTTTAAAAAATGAAGTAATTTTTAATTGGGGTTGGAGAAAGCACACCCTATAAATAGTAGCCACTTTTTTGCCCTGTCTGACTGTAAAGGAAGCTAGTATAGGTCCCTAGCATGGGAGTGTAGGAGGGTTTTATAACCCTATTGCCAACTGAAATGTCATGCAATGTCAGTGTCACTGAAAAACAAATTCCTACCTTGCCTATCACATTTTCTTAAGGTGCAACCAAGCCATAAGAGATAATAATCAAGAATCTTTTCATGCCTTAAAGATCAACAGAACAAAGAGGTGGGGATTACATTTTCATTCGTTTTAGTCTCTTCACACTGCTACACAGCCGAACAGATTTAACTACCTGACACTGATAGTGATACAAGTCATGAGCATGACCTCAGCAGTTGTTGCTGATCACAACCCTAAGTAGATAATCTGTTTTCTCCATTACTTGATGTGTATGAGACCAATGGACAGACAGAGCAAGTGTTTATGTACACATTTGTGTGTGTGTTGTGTTGTAAAGCCATTGAAAAAAGGAACACCTTTTGAAGCTGCCAAAAATATGAGTTCATGGCCAGCAACAGGCTAAGCATCACTGGGAACATTCCACGGATCTTGCTGTCAATCTTTGGAGCTCCAGCTTCCTTTTCCTGTTCCACTTGACCAGTTCTAAGAAACAGAGCAGTGATAACAGTCACTTGCTGAGCCTGGAACATTATTGTTTGAAAGCTACGCATAGCATTATTCAGTTTCTCAGGTTGCAATTATTTTCTTTGCCAACAGTAAGATATTATTAGTCTCTACAATATTTTTTGGATTTGCAAGAAGGATTTTTGTATAAATTGCATAGATAATTGAAGAGAGCTGATGCATTGCTGCATGGATTTTTAACATTACAAGCATCAGACCATCCCCAAGTGATTGTAGTGTCATTCTTGTACAGGATAGTAAACAATCTCATGGGAGTTAATGAACTGTCAACATGCTATCTTCCTGTGCCAAGAAAGCCTAACTCATTGAGAATAGGCAGTTTGCCAAGATTCCTATCAGCAATAATAGAAGTGAGCAGAGGGGCCTGCTCAGAGAATGGAGTTCTTTGCAGTTTCTAGATCAAGAGGAATCCAAATCCTAGAGCTGCAACCCCAATAGATAGATTGTAGATGATGCCAACATTTAACTGTTCCTTTAAAATCATCTGTGCCAGGTTCAGACTGATAGATTGAGTCTGCCATCTGATATTCATTTACTTAGGAGAAAGTCCCTTTGAACTCATTAGGCTTCAGTCTGAATAGGTAGGTTTAAGACGCCACTGCAACATCTTTGAAATATTTACAAGGAATGAAGCTTCATTGGGGTTGGTAAGAACAATGCTTATCTGATATTCTATGTATTAACATCCTCCTTGATCTCTTCCACATTGTCCTACTTTCTCACATATGGTCTTTTAGCTCCAATTCTCATTTTTCTTTCCACACTCAGTCATGAGTTGAGGCACAACATGGACTGGAACAGCTGGTGGAGCAGCTGCTGCAAAGACTTTGGGCTACTTCTGTATCAGAGCAGTGCACAATGCTTGGAAAATCTGCCTAGGCAGGAATGGGGTATATAGGAAATGTGTTGTTGTCCAACAGTATCATTGTGTGTGTTTGCTCAGTCAGCATAGCAACTGCAGGCAGGAGATGTGATTTTTATCTTGAGATATCAAATTACATTCAGGGTGGATTCTACTGACATACCATTACATGGTAAAGAGAATCCCCAAATAGGTTTGTTAAAATAATGCAGACAAAACAATAATACATCAGATTATACACTTCACCTTTTCAACACCATAGTGAATCATGCAACCCAGACTTCATCAACATACTTGACAATCATATTACCTCATTTTTAAAACTGGTGAATAGAAACAAACTTTACAACTGATGCCTAATAGGATTGCAAAGTTTTAATCATGAAAGAACAGCATGATTGTCTTTCTTGTGTTATCCTTCCTAAGCCTAAAGTTTCAAATAGCTCCATCCCTGTCTCAACATGTTCAACAATGTTGCATCTAGAGCTGGCCCTCCTGTTAGGCGGAATGAGGTGGTCAACTCAAGTGACAGAGGACCATTGGGAGCAGTCCCAGGTTAGTGAACAATATCAGCATGGCCTTCATGAGTTTCAACTAACAGAACTTGGACTGAATAACTGGGAACAGAATAAAATAATCTGGTCTCTCTGTTCAATCTTAAATGGATGTTGATATTAACATGCCTATGTGTGCGACAATCTTCCTTGTGAATCCCATGTAAGATCAATTTCTGTGTCCTCCAGTGCTATTCATTGTGAATATGTATTGTAAAAAATGTTCAGCTCCCTTCCTTATCTATAAAGTAGCTTTTAAAAAATATTTATATCAATAATCATTATAGGCTGTTTGATGTTAACTTTTTATTGATCAAAAATAGCATGTACTGTAATTCCCCTTGTCTACATGAAATAAAATGTGCTGGGTCAGTTTCAGGTCAGAGCTCACGCTGTCTTGTCTTGGCTCAAGCCCAGAAATTGGGAGCTAAGGTATGCATTACTAATAGCCGTTCCTAATGACTATCATCTGTAACGAAGGTTACTAGATCAGCGGTTTCCTGTATCCTGAGATTTATGGGCCAAAACCTGAGTCCACCTTTGCAGGTATTACTTGTGCAGCATACAGAGGCAGTTAGCCCTGGGATCAGTTGGGAAGAGGGAAGAGATGGCCACCCCCATACATTAAAATAAAATTTTCTCCTTACACTACTACTTGCCTGAAAGTTGCCTCCCACTGGGAGACTCAGGGAAGCATAGAAATTCTTTGAGACTTCAGCTGTGATCCTCTAAACCTGGCAATCTTATGATGCTATGCAGTTGCTTGCAATTTACCCTTCATGTACCCACACATTGTTTTTTAGGCCAAAATCTATACGAGCAGAGTCCCTGGAATCAGCAAAGATGCCCTGCTTCCTCCTGGTCCCTTCATGCCTTATGAAGCAGCTGAGTCATAATTAACAGCTAGAAGCCTCCTCCAGTAATTTTACCTATGGCAAAACCCAGTTTGGCAGAGTTATATATGTTGTCATCAACACATGAAGGTAGGAGATGGGGAAGGCAGGGATGGCATTCATGTACTTTCTAAATCTAAAATGACATAATTGTAGAATCATAAAACTAGATCTGGAAGAGATCCAAAGGGTCATCGTCAACCCCTGCAAGTAGCCATGACAAGTGGGCATTTAAATTTTGGTTAAAACAGTCCACCATACTCTAAGGCAGTCCATTTCACTGCTGAATAACTTTAATTATATATCCATTTCTTGATTATATATATATAAAATCTAGAAATACAATATGTGTGTATAATATAATACACACACACACACACACACACTTGTACAGCTAAGTTACACAACAATAGAATATATACAATGGTGCCTCGACTTACGACCATTGTAGAACTATATGCATGTACTGTTATACAAACGCAATAGAATATATACAGTGGTGCCTTGACTTACGACCATAATCCATACCAGAAGATGGATGTAACTCAAAATGGTCATAAATCGAAACACCATTTCCCATAGGAATGCACTGAAATGCAATTAATCCATTCTGGCCGAAGGAAAAAATCACCCCCCCCCAAAAAAAAATCACTGCAAGATTCATTGGAAACATGATTAATCCCTTTTGGCTGAAGTGCAGGGGGGGGGGAGAGAAAAACAATCAAACGTGCAAAAACCCATCAGAAATGTACAGAAAACAAATGGAGCAGATTGGAAATGCACAGAGAACAAAGGAAGCAGGTAGGAAACATAAAGAAAACAAAGGAAAAAGCAAGGGAAACATTCAGGACCCATCATAAATGGGGGGGAGCCCAAAAGGCAACCAAGCCCCCCAAGATCCATCGGAAATAGGGGGAAAGCAAACAACCCCCCAAGACCCATTGGAAATGGGGAAAACACTCCAAAAAGCAACGAAATCCTCCCAAGACCCACCAGAAAAGGGGTGAAAAAAACCAAAAAACAAGCAAACCCCCCAAGACCCATCACAGCACAGAAACATAACCCCCAGCCCAAAACCATACTGCAAAAACACTGAGAACAGTTTTAAAAAGCAGGAAACAGCACCTTACCTTACCAGGCAGCCTCCTCCAATCACACACTCTCTAACTGCTGGGGCGAAAGAGCTACAAAGAAACAGCCTCATTGCCACCTACAGTTAGCAATTTGAATTTCACACCTTTTTTATCTGCCTTTTTCTGTTCGTAAGTGGAAGCTCCGGTCGCAAGTAGAAGCAAAAGTTTGCGGACGGAGCTGGTCATAACTCGAAATGGTCATAAGTAGGGACGTTCGTAAGTCAAGGCACCACTATATGTGTTTATTCAGAGAGTTCTGAATAATGTTCTACAATGCATTTTCCCAACAAAGGCTTATGGAAAATGTAAACTAACAACATCTGGAGGGCCACATGTTGCTCAACCTCACTTGACCTGGAAGAGTAACAGAATGCTAGAACAATGTCTGGTGTAGTCAAGATTTTTATTAACAGTAGAAGTAAGGAAGGTTTGCCCCTGAGTAAGTGGATCATTTCTTAATTTAGGTAAATAATCCAGTTTCTTAAACTGGGCCTGCACAGGCTTCTGCTTTTGCCTAATCCTTCATAAAGATGTAAGTAATCCAGATGCTTTAAAAATAGGGCCATTACAAATCCTTGAAGACTGAATGAAATATTGATTGAAGTGCTGACAGTAAGTTTAAGGAGGGCAATAGAGGAGGAGGCTTCAACCTGATGTCACCAGTGGGAAGTCCTACAGGATTAATGCTGTGTGATGGTATTAGGTAGAAGTCCAGTTCTCTGCCTTGCTGTAGTCTGTAGCTGGTGATTTGTGTTCGTTCATTTGGCTAACCGTCCCCCCAGTGTCTTTCCTCTTTCACATCTTGCATTCCCTCTCAAAACCTACTGAGAAAAATCAACACCAGGATCCTATCATAAAAGCTCCATAAAAGGTTACTATTAGTCTATAGTCGGTGGTTAGCGTTGTTAGTCTGCGTAAGTATATGAACAAGAAACAAAAATAAAATAAAATTAAGATGAAGACAAAAACACTGTAGATGTTAGTCTGTAACAACTCCACCGCATTTTATTTGTTATTTCGTTATATTATTTTTGTAAGGATATCCAGACATCTTGCAGTCCTGGGTCTCACACAACTCTGATGTTGTGTGGTCACATCCCATCACTAAAGGAATACCCGTTGCTTACAGAATCCACTAGATTCCCTCTGCATCATAGAATCTCCCTGAAAACATTGTATTGACGGCCGTTTCCTCTGAAGAGAATTACATGTGTGTAATCCTGGGGACCACATGGCTTTTTCCTCGTTCCTAATGGACTAAATAAAATGCCATTAATCCACACTGCATCACCGACAAGACAACATGAACTCTCAACACAAGTCACATGGATTCTACACATACACCAGAGGTCTCTATAAACTGAAGAAACATATATTTATGCTTAGCAGGTAAAAACATTAATCTGACCTTAATCTGGCACAACTGGCTGCTTATATCTGGTGAATAACCCAAATTATAATCCATAACCTGTGCTAGTGGCCATGCCTTTGTATTGTTTTTCCCCACCCATCGCCATAGCCGAAAATAAACTTTATGTTTCAAGCAGGTCATGTGAATGTGAGTGTGAAGGCAATCACAGAGTAATTGGCAACCTTTTAGTTTTAAGAGCAGGGTGTAAAAATTTCAAACCATGCTGCAAGTATGCTTGACACTGCAGCCTCAAGAGGACTGACATCACTTCTCACAGACATCAAGTTTTAGATTCTTATTTACAATTTTGCAGTTTTTCTGTGCTAGCCATGTAGAAGCCTGATGAAGAGGAATTTTTCTCCACAAAAGGTTGCAATCTGTTTGCTTTTTAAAGTGGTCCAATGAAAGATATCACCCAGTCTTATGTTTGTATTCCTCTGAGAAATGTACCTTTCTTGTATTTAACAGCTCTTGTGTTCCTCATGCATTAAAAAGCAACACCTTTTCCGATTGATGCTGCAAATGAGACTGCTGTCTAATGGCACAAGGAGAGGAGGGACACTTTTCATTGAATGTTTCTATTTTTCTCTGTGTTTTGTAACACAGTTTATTTGCATGTGCTAATTGACAGTTTTTATTTTCTGGTAGGTCTCAGTAAACTGGCATGGTATAGTGGACACAGTAACACACTAGGACCCGACACTTGGGTCCAAATCCAAACTCAGCCATGGAAAACCACTAGAGGTGGCAATAGTAAAACCACTCCTTAAATGTCTCACTTACCTGGAAAGCTCTATTAGAGCCACTAAACATTAGATGCTACTCAATGGCATATAATAACACAACAAGGCTCCTATACCTTTAACAGCTGTGTAATGGATAACATATTCAGCATTGCTAAACATGTGAAGTAGGGCAGCCATGTGAAATAGGAATATGGCTCTTGTACTTTAATAATTGCATGTAAAAGTACATTTCAGCAAGGGTAGTTTACCAAAAGAAACTTCACCTGTTGAAGTGTCTGCCTCCTCAGAACTGTTAAAGGTACAGGACCCCTGTCCTCCAATCCCCATGGCAGTGTAAAGGAGAAAAGAAACACTTTTTGTCTGTTACGAAGGATGGAAAGCCTATGAAGCCAACCGCTGGGGGGGGATCAATGATCTCTTCTCTCAGATTGATTACTGTAATGGTCTCTGTGTAGGGCTATGCTTGAGAATGGCCTGGAGATTGCAGCAGGTGCAGAATGTGGCAACTGGACTGGTGTCAAGTATGAATAAATTTGATCACATCTCACCAGTTATGGTTCACCTGATTGGCTTCCTATTGTTTTCTGGGGCAGAGTCAAGGTTCTAATTCTAGTATAGAAAGCCCTTAATGGTTTGAGGCCCTGTTATATGTCTGAGTGTCTCTCCCTCGGCCCATAACACCCATTTTGCTCAGGCCCTACTTCTCTGCGTTGCCATGCTGTGAGAGGCAAAAAAAGACTGTCACCAAAAACTGTGGCTTCTTGATCATGCTCCATCCTTACAGAATGAGTTCCCTGCAGAATTAAGTCAGGCCCCTTCTCTCCCTTCTTTTAAGAGGATGTGAAAATCTGTCCTGTTTCAAGAGGCATTCAAAAGCATCCTTGCTTAAGCTATTTTATATGGGTTCCCAGTGTCACTATCCTTTTGGGTATGTATTGCTTGTTTTATTTGAGATATTTAATGTTGGGTGATTGGGTCACTATTACAATTTGTTGCTGTAAATTGCTTAGAGTTGTGCTTTGCGCCAAGACAGTGGTATATAAAGGCATGAAAATGGATGAACGAATAACAGCAGCAGTCTTTGCTGATAAAAAGGGCTCTTTAGGATGGTTTCCTTCTGGTTAGATTCCCCATGTTCCCATGCACTTCCAGAGATCAAAGACTGAAAGTGTTGATCGGGGAGCACAGATGCCCTTTTCCCGTCCGAGCAATTTAAATAAAGATTAATTCCTCTCACCCTTATGAAAGATATTAATTAAGAGATAATGTCGGATGACATTCAAGCTGAGGTCCCTAGTGCCTGTCTGTCTGTTTGTTTGTTTCTACTTGCCTTTGAAGGATAGAACTTATGGCTGTCATGTTGTAGGAAATTCAAACGCATACAAAACTGTTTTTACTAAACCAGGTTCCTTGCTTTGGTGGTGTAAACTGTAAGACATTTATTCCATTATTTCACCTGACAGAAGGATTCTATCTGCTCTGAGACAGTCTTGAGGAGGATGAACATGGAGCACAATCATGCTTTTTTGTAGATTCATTAGCATTGCCTGCTAAGGGTCCCTCCGTAATTACGGATGAAGCTGACCACCTGGAATCAATTCACAGAGGCAGCCAACTGTGGTATTTTCCAATTTCTGAATTCCCTGCCATGCATCTGCCACCATTATTCTAACATTATCTCCAATCTGACATCAGTGCTGTGTTTTGTAATGTCTTGTGTAGTATCATTTCTCTTGGGTGAGATCATTGTCCCTCTCAAAGCATGCTTTTATAATACAGTGAATAATGAATGTGTGTGGTTATTAAATGTGAAGCTTCGAATATGTGATTAAATATACCTCACATGCAAATATTGACCCAAAACATAGCAGAGAAAGATGAAACGTTGATGTGGTTTTTCTCAAGGGTTTGCATGGGTAAATGAAGGGCAGTGTGAGGAATCATGCAGTCTGTCAGAAGTTTCTTTTATGTTCAAGGTAAGGTGTAAAAGTTCCTTGAGGATTATGGGTAGGTAAGTTTGCAGGAGGATTGAGGGCATACAGAAGTTGTAGGGCTGCCAGATCTCAAATGATGGGCTGAATTTGAAGGGATTTTTTTAATATTTCCCCAGGTCCCTGAAAGACAAATCTTAGAATGAGAAGAGCTGGAGGAAGAAGAAGGAAAAAAAGATATTCTCCAAAGACCCACCTTGAGTGACAACACAAATGTCTGAAAACTCACCAGCTAATCACTGATTTGGGTTTTAAATACTGAGGGAATTGGAAACTGATGACCTGGCAACCTTGTTACCTCTTATCCTACAAATGAAAACATTTCCACAAGCCCAAGATTCTTTTTTTATATGTAGTTTTTAAAAAACTGATGACACAAAAACATGAATATAATACAATAATACAAAAAAGTGGGACCATCTGGCGATATAACCAATTTTTCCTCCATTACAGAGCTCCATTCCTGCTCCAAAACTGCATTGATTCTTGTGAAGGTAGAAGCCCGACCCTTTTGAAAACACAAACTCAGTAAATTCTCCCCATATATTGACAGAGCTATTCTTCTGTAGCAATCCCCTTTTAATGTTCATATTACAACTTAATTTACCATTAATAGACATATTCCAAACTTCTTCATACCATTAATTTAATTGAAAATTATGCTTAACTTTCCATTTCCTTACTATCAGTAATCTTGCTGCTGCTAATAAATTTGCAATTAAATATGTTGTTGCCTAGCTCTATTGCTTCTTATCAAATATTAAGAGAGCTATTTTAGGGCAAACTTCTAAATTTAACTTAAACATTTCATTTATTTCCTTGAAGACCAACCTCCAGAATTTCAATATATTCACACATTCCCACCACATATGGAAACAAGTACCTACTTCCTGACATCCTCTATAACAGTGGTTCTTAACCTTTGTTACTCGGATGCTTTTGAACTGCAACTCCCAGAAACCCCAGTCAGGACAGCTGGTGGTGAAGGCTTCTGGGAGTTGCAGTCCAAAACTCCTGAGTAACCCAAGGTTAAGAACCAGTGCTCTATAACATAGTTTAGAATCTTTGGCATCTATATGACTTAGTTTCACCAGAGTTAAATGCCATCTGTCTTCCTTGCCTAATAAATAGGTGGACAAAGCCTCTCTAACTTAGAAAGCAACACCATAGTACCAAATGAAAAACCCTTGCAGTGTCAAATTAAAAACAAATAAACCCCAAAACAATATAACACTCTTTCATGCAGGATGGATATGATGGATCCATGCCAAAAAAGTTATTTCCAGAGAAACCTCACAAAAAGCTGTGTTTTCTGCCCAGCTCTAGCAAAGGAAGGGTGACACGAACTACAGAGAATGCTGAATTTACTACTCCATGGTGTATATTTGCAGTTCGCTAAAACAATAGTCGGCTTCCATCTCCAAGTACTTTTAAAAGAGGGCAGAACAATGGGACGCAAAACAACAGAGTGGAACGTCCTTCACACAGACCTTCTAACAAGGCCTCACCAAGTGCTGAAAAAGAATAACACACTGGAGATCGCAAGATAACAGAAAACAGAGACCATTCCTAGTCATTAAGGCCAGTTGGGTTGTATGAGCACTCTGTGTGTCATCAACAGGCAGACTTATGTATCCAAGGCATTGTTTTTATAGTATTACCCCCTCAATTGAATTATACTATCACAACAGTGTGCACTTTCAAAGCTCTCTTTTTTTGGCCTGAGGTAAGAAACAAGTCAGATTCCACAGTGGTATCTTCTATTTCTCTCGGGAGCTCAGGTTTCTTTTTTGATACTTCCCAGCATGGTCTCAGTCCTGCGGTCTTTGTGTGAGAGTCCAAACAACCCCCATTAAGTTTTATGCGCCGCTTCCCCTGGTTTAACTCCCTTTGGTCTCTCTTCTGGCCTCTTCTGAAATGTAGCTGCCACATTTTCACCTAAGCACTAGACAGCTTGTTTAAAAGGTCTCCTGCCAAGAATGACTTCAGACATCAACAGGATGCAACCAGCCAGCCTACCAGTTCACACCAGCCATCTCAAAACACACCATGTTGTGTTCACATTAGAACTGGGAGGCGAGGGAATCCTCTGCTAGAAATGCTTCTCCACCATGTTGTGTGAAAACTGTGGTCTCTTTAATGAAGATTAGACAGCTAGATAACTTTATTCTATATTAAATTAATCACCCACATCAGAGGGGAAAGGAACAGGGTTCTTAATATAGAACACGAACAAAACAGGAAATTAGGGAGCTAAATTTGTTTTTGTTCTATTTCCTCACAACTCACATATATAACATTGAGTTTAACTTTGCAGGGGTTTTGGCTCGATGCAAAGAGGGATGGGGATGGGGTTGGAGTTTATTTTGCTCAAGCAGATATTCTTGAATGTAATTAGTCCTAAGGACACCAACCTTTTAAAATGATCATTTATAGATGAAATTGCACATCAGTACTATGCTATGTAATTATATGTTCTTTTCCTAAAGCAAATAGTATGTTAAGAAAAACACCCATATGATATATTATAACCTAGCACAATTAATATCACATTCAGCCGCCCAAATTCAGTAAACAGTTGTCACTGATACATATTTTTGTCTTGTTTTGTCGTCAACTGTTTCTCAACTTAACAGTTCCACTTTTTTTGTTAACTGTGAGCCTCGCCAAATGAGATGGTGATTCCACCTCAAGAAGCAGTGCACCCTTTGTAGGATAGTAGCTCTTTATTCTCACACATGCTTGCCTTGACATGGACTTGGCAAATTAGCTTGTTTTTGTTTTGTTACTGGTCAACTGGGAGAAAGCATAGCTCTGTTTTCATGTTGGATGTCTCAGGGATGTACCACTTGAAAAGCAAGGAATGTGCATTTTCCTTAATGTGTGATCTGATACTGCCTTAAATGCTGGTGCTTTGCTTGTTTCTTCTTCATACTGTCCAATCCTATAATGTTTGCAATTAGCAATGGGGACGACTCACCATTTTGGTGAGTTGACCTGCTTCGTGAGTCATCAAAAGCTGATGACTCGTGAAGCGCGAAGCTGCCCCCATGAAACGATGAAAAACAGTTATTTGTCTATTTGTGAGGGGTATTAAAAAACCACACCCTCTTCTTTTACCACTGATCAGGTGATTGGCAGCAGATAGGCAGCTGCCACCACTCCACAGCCACCCACCCCAACAGCTACCCCACACCCCCTTCCTCTCCTTACATTAGCCACTCCCACTGACACACCCTTACCTTAATCACTGCTGCTGAGGTCTCCTTCTGGCCTCCCAGCCACACATGTAAAAAGGGAGACTGGCTGCCCTTTGCAAAGATGGTGGCTGAGGCTTCATTCAGGGTAGGGAAGGTGCAGCTGCTATCTTTGCAAAGGGCAGCCTGAATTCCATTAAGGCAAGCTAAGGGAACTTAAAGAAGTATTAAAGAAGTATTAATAAAGAAAGGGTTAAAGGATGAAAAAAATAAAAGATAAGAATACTATAAAGGAAATTTTGGGGGAAGATGAGGGAATATCTTAGCTAAACATACTCCAAATGGAAAGCTGGAACAGAGTGAACATGAAAAGGAGAGATTAGAAAACTGACAAAATTTGAGGACATTATGGAACAAAGAAAAGATTTAAAAAGGAAATAAAAGACATGGAACAGTTAGTGCAATTTATAAAATTTTAGTACATTCAGGATTTGATCAAACAATGATGAAAAATCAGTGCCAGGAGGTCTGTGAGGAAGAATTTAAAGGAAAGGACTGGAATAAGATATGGTCATAAAGAATAATTAAGAATATGTCTATAAGGGTAAAAGAAAATTGATATAAGGTAGCATGGAGATGGCACTTAACTCCAGTAAGATTGAATATAATAAATAAAAATATACCATCTCAATGCTGGATATGCAAAAAGGAAAAAGGGACCTATATGCATATGTGGTGGACATGTGAAATAAGAAAGAAAGAATGGGCACTGGTTTTTAAAGAAATTAGAAAAATTATTGGATGTGCTATCCAAATATTGCCAATTATTGCCCTCCTGAACATAACATACTTGCAAAAAGATAAGAAAGAGTTAGTTGTTATAATGGTTACAGTAGCAAGATTAATATTATCAAAGTATTGGAAAAGCAACAAACAAATTAATCTTGAAGATTGGTATAAAGAAATGTGGAGCGTAGCAATTAACAATAAGTTAATATGTGAAATAAAAACAAGAAGAGGAATGGTAAAGTCCAATGATTTCAAATATATGTTGAATTTATACCTGGAATATATCTTTTTGAATGGGAAAGGCTATATGCCAGCAAAAGAATCAATGTCTTTTTGGAGAGGTATGGGATGAAAAGGGGTATCAACTGATATTGTTGGTCACCTAGTCCCAAGGGTGAAGGTGGCATGGGTGGGAAATATTTAATGTGTATTATGTGCAGTCAGCCGGGCCTGGAGAGGACACTCCAGCTTTGCATACAGTATCGAAATAACACAAGAAGTAGCAGTTACTGGTTATAAGTCTTTGCTCGATTGGCGTAGAGCATGACACCAGGGCTACTTCCGATGGTGGGAAAGGTCACTGCACATCACAAGGTAGGGTGAAAGCCGACAAACAGATCAATAACCCTGCACCATGCAACAATCTTAAGAATACTTCTGCCCTAAAGTAGGGCACCTGGAATGTTCGTACAATGACCCCTGGCTTTTCTGACGACCTGCAGGAAATAGACGACGTGTGCAAGACAGCCGTCATCAACATGGAACTGAGTAGACTGCAGATAGACATTGTTGCCCTGAAAGAGACAAGGTTGCCAGACATGGGATCTGTCAAAGAAAAAAACTTCTCATTCTTCTGGCAGGAAAAACCATTGAATGAGACCAGGGAATATGGTGTTGGCATTGCGGTCAGAAATACTCTGCTGAGATTCATTGTTCCACCTACTGTGGGGAGTGAAAGAATCCTGTCTCTGCAGCTCCACTCATCAGCTGGACCGGTCACCCTCATTAGTGCATATGCTAGAGTTGATGCTGATCATAATTCTTGGCCCACTTGTCTAGGCCATTTTAGCATTGGGAAGATGAACGAAAATGGCCAGCGCTTCCTGGAGTTTTGCTGTTATTATGGTCTTTGTGTCAGCAACACATTCTTTAATACAAAGCCTCAACACAGAGTTTCCTGGAGACATCCAAGATCAAAGCATTGGCATCAGCTCGATTGATCCACACTAGATGTTCTAGCCGTCCTAGTACAGTGGTGCCCCGCATAGTGACGATAATCCGTTCTGGATAAATCGTCGCTATCCGGAAAGTCGCTATATGGGGCAAAAATCCCCATAGGAACGCATTGAAACCCCTTCAATGTGTTCCTATGGCGGATAAGCTCCCTACTAAGCGGAAATACTCCATAGGGCCGCCATTTTTGCTGCCTCGGTAAGTGAGGAATTGGTGCAAAAACACTGCAGGCGGCCATTTTGTTGATGCGCTGGCCATTTTGGAACCGCCGATCAGCTGTTTTAAAACACTGCAATGTGAAGATCGGTAAGCGAAACACCAATCATCGCAATGCGATTTTCGCCCATTTTGC